GTTGGAACAAAAAATAAAAAATCCGTATGTACATACATATATACGCACGAAAAAACCCTTAAATTTCTGCTTTAGCTTATTTTTCGTGTTTAGTAACACATACCAAATTCAAGTATCTACTTGCAATAAACGCCCAGCAATACCCCTTTTGCTTGTACTCATAGCAAGCAAAAGCAGGATTGCATACAAAATAAGCAGTAGAAATAAGACAGAACAATATCAACGAAACAAAAATTTTTGCGCGAAAAAGATTGACAAAACAAAGTAGAAAAGAAGTGGCAGTAAATACTGCATATTTATGTATGTAAACATATTATATTACAGCTTCTAAAACCCATAAATAGCAAATATCAAAAACACCTAAATATAATAGGTACCAAACAATAGCATATTTTATTTCTGTCCTCCCAGCATCTGTACCACGAAGTAATACACATACGTACATACGTGGAGGTAAACAATTATACAAACGCTTATTAGCCCCGAATCTGCATCGAATTGCACATAAAGAAGCATATGTACATACGGTCATTTGCAACTCATAGCCCATTAGAGACAAAGTTTATTACTCCCTAAGCTAACAAATTACTCGTACATAACTATATACAAACGGGCATACATCGTAACGAAAGCAACGAAATTGCAATCAGCGTTTATCGCTTCCTCCTATTTTAGTAAACAAAGTGACATACATACACACTACCTAGTATTAGCCGCCCTCGCTTAACATATGTTAATATATGGTAGCATTGCGTGCGAACATTAACAAACGCACATACATATATACTCACATACCTACTAACCCAGTAGTGCATATACCTTGTACGGCACACGTAAAGGAAAAATATTAATAAGCACGGTAAAATTAAAATAATCGAATTAACGATTTAAATTGCGATAATTTAAAGAAACCTTGTTTATTAGAAAAAAATATATATACACACCCAATCGGAAACAAATATAAAATTAATATAAAAAAAAGAATAATATAGAGAGAGTATTGCGGTACATTGTGTTAATGTAAATAAAAGCACGTCTAAATCCATTTGACGATACGGGAACTTGCTTATATTATTCGCGGTTAATTAAATACAGAGAAAAAATAAAATAAAATCTATATATTCTCGCATACTTAATGCCTTCTGATAAAACTCCAGCAAAGGAGCAATTAGCCAAACCCCCAATCACTTTAAAAGCACCAACAATGGTTGATGAGGATAAACCTCAAGGCACACCTGCAGAAGCTACCCGCTTGAAGCAGGGTGCAAAAGAGAGAAAAACAAAAGATTTCTCAGGCGCAAGATTCATTTCTGATAGTGACAGTTTGGTAAGATACTGCACTAAATTCTCCTCAGCCCCAATAGAAGACAATTCTGAATCGGTTCTGGAAATAAAAAACCACAACCTTGACAACTTCTGGGCGCGCCTTCAAGCGGCATATGACACAATTATAGAAACGGATGATTCCGATTTACCCGAGAATTTCAAAGCTTCGGCTGCCGCCACATACGAAAACTTGACCAATATGAAGAGACAAAAGCTATGATCTCCGATCAGCTTAAGTTATTAAACCCAGTTAGCGCACCTACTCCACCCCCGAGAGTAGAAGTAAGCCAAATTCAAGAGCAAAGCTCCGACATATATCTCAAAGTGCCAGCATGTGACACGGAAACCTTCCATGGGGGTTATGAACAATGGCCGTCCTTCCGGGACATGTTTACAGCCGTATACATAAATCACCTAAAATTGTCACAAGCACAAAAACTGTACCACCTCAGGTACAAGACTAAAGGTCAAGCCGGCAGTAGAGTGAAGCAATTCGCATTAAATGACGATAATTTCAATCTGGCTTGGGAAGCATTAAAAGAAAGATATGAAAACGAAAGAGTACTGGTTGATAAACAAGTAACGATTTTAATGAACTTGCCAAAAATTCAAAAAGAAACAAGTTATGGGAGCAATCGCTCTCATCCCGTAAAAAATGCCCGACGTGGCAACAAATGAAAGATTTTCTAACTACCCAGTATGAAATCGCAGAGAGGGTAGATACAAAAATTACAAAAGCCAAGAATACACAAAATGATCTACATAGAAGCTTCATGAAACCCCAAGCCAGCAATCACAATTCACATAATAGAAGCTTCAATACATCGCAAACATTTATGAACGAAAATAGACATACGTCATGCGAATTTTGTAAAGGAGGTCACCCATTAAGATCTTGCGAGAAGTTTAAAAAACTTACGACGACCGAAAGATATAATGTCGTCAGAAACAATAGGCTTTGCACAAATTGCTTCTCACACTCTCACACGCAAAAAGACTGTGAGAGTACCACGACTTGAACTGTGTGGCGCGCTTCTACTCGCAAAATTAGCCTCAACTGTGCAAACGCATTTAAACATGACCAGTCAAAAATTATATCTATGGTCAGACTCAGAGATCGTCTTAGCTTGGTTAGAAAAACCACCCCTCTCATGGAAAACATATGTTTCCAACCGCATAGCCCAAATACTTGATTTAGTTGAGCCGGCAACTTGGCGACATCTATCCAGTGCTGATAACCCCGCCGATCTTGGCACAAGAGGTTGCAAACCCTTGCACCTCGCCACCACCTCACTCTGGTGGAACGGCCCCAACTGGCTAAAAGAATCACAACAATTCTGGCCACAATCCCCCATACGCAACATAATTGCCCCAGAAAGTCGAAAAGTCGAAACCTCTCACACAATACTGGATGACAATGACATACTAGAACGATTTTCCTCGTTCCCCCGTGCCCTAAAGGTAGTCGCCTATATGTTCAAATTTGTAGAGCGCCTCAAAAATGAGGTTAAGAAAACACCGAATTCCCCAGATAACATGTTAACGCATCAATACCTACAAAAAGCAAAGGTTTCCCTTGTTGCATACACTCAAACGCGCTATTTCAGCCGCGAAATATTACTGCTAAGAGAATCAAAACTAATTGATAAAAAGAGTCAACTCTTAGTACTCAATCCATTTTTAGACACGAAAGGTCTGCATCGTGCTAATGGACGGCTAGCGAACTCCAGCCTCACATATAACGAACGCCACCCCATAATAATACCAGAGAAATCCTCATTTGCAACACCATACCTCAGATTTCTCCACTTATTAATGCTACATGCCGAACATCGCCTCATGCAACAAATGGTCCGACAAGAATATTATATTCCACGACTAAAGCCACAGATCAAAAAATGCATATTTATGTGTAAAGTCTGCACTATACATAAGCAGAAGATGCGCACGCAGATCATGGCAGCTCTTCCACCTGAACGCTGCACTTTCGCTCTGCCCTTCACTACCACTGGTGTTGACTTTGCTGGGCCTTTCCAGATAAAGGCTTCCATATTAAGGACTTCAACCTTTACGAAGGGTTATGTGGCTGTCTTTGTATGCTTTACGACAAAGGCAGTACACCTCGAGCTATGTTCTGATCTGACCACTGCGGCTTTTCTCGCGGCATTTGCTCGCTTCGTCTGACGGCGAGGATTTCCATCCAAAATAATGAGCGACAATGGAAAAACCTTTGTCGGAGCCAAAAGAGCCACTGAAAAACAGTTTGTAAAATTTATAGAGGAAGTCTCGCCAGAAATCGTTCAAAAATACGCACCCCAAGGCATTGATTGGCAATTTATCCCACCAAGTGCTCCACATATGGGGGGTCTATGGGAATCCGCTGTAAAAAGCTTCAAAACACATTTTAAAAAGTCGCTGGCGCACACAAATTTAACTTCGAAGAATTTACTACATTATTAACCCGAACAGAAGCCGTTCCTAACTCACGGCCCCTCTCTGCGCTCTCGCAAGATCCCTCCGATTTCACTGCCCTCACCCCTGGGCATTTTCTTAGAGGTGCTCCACTTCTGGCAATACCCGAACCAGACGAACAATCCTTATCTCTACTGAATCGATGGGAACGAATGAAAATTCTCCATCATGAATTCAGTCGTAGATGGAAGGAAGATTATTTAAAAGACCTCCATAAAAGATATAGATGGAAGAATACTCAAGAGGAGCCTAAAATCGGAGAATGTGTTCTCATCCACGATGAGTGTCTTCCACCCACCGAGTGGCGCCTCGCAAGAATCGAAAAATTACATCGTGGCTCCGATGGTCACATACGAGTCGTAGATTTGCGCACACAAAACGGTATACTAACTCGACCGCTCGTAAAACTTTGCCTTCTACCGACCGAAGACGCTAATAATCAATGAAAAACAATCGTAATTCCGTCATGCTCAAAACCGTAAATGAAACTAAAACCACGCAACTCAATAAACGTAACAAAAACCGAGAATATCAAAAGTGCCTAAATCCGTACCCTCAAACCCACACCAAGTGGCTTACGCCTAGCAATCATGTTCATAACTGCTTGCATCTATACTATACTAAAGTCCGTTCTCCCCTACTGTAGATAAATATGGACGTGGAAATGATTGAAGCCACACCAACTCCAACTATCCGTTCGGCAATCACCGTGCCCCGCTCGGCAGCACCGCCAGTAGCAGCTCCTCGCTCTACTGTGCCGCGTACCGCAGCAGCTCCGGCCGCTGCGCCTCGAAACCTCACGCCCCGACCCGCCGCCGCTCCGACGGCATCACCACGCGCAGAACCTCCACAAAGGAGCCCAGCAGCCGTACATGGCGTACGATGTCCGCTATGTCGTCGCCCACATAAGCTACGCCTATGCTCCATTTTTAGGAGTAAGCAGCCGCCTCAGCGCCAGCAAGTCGCGCAAGCTCATGGGTACTGCCTTAACTGCTTGGCGCTATCGCACGCAACGAGGGAGTGCGACTCACCCATCTTGTGCCAACTGTGCGACAGACCGCACCACACACTGTTGCATCGCACCCCCGCACGAACCATTCCCGAGACACCAGTTGCCCACCGTAATGGGCGACGAAGACCGCAAGGCAAGGTTGCACGATCGCGGCGACCACCAGCACAACAGGGCCACCGCACTTTTAACCACCCCGGAGCTCGCTATCGTGCTCCAGCAGGGACCCATCGCCGGCACCAGCCTACGCAACGTCCCCGTCGTGCGACCGGACTACGCAACGTAGTGGAGACCCTGCACAACTTCAGCAACTAGTAGGCTGAAGACTCGCCCAGGGGGGCCGGGATGGCTAAATGAGTTCGGCCATTCCCCCTTTTTTCGACCGTGAATGGCTCCGTGACAGCAGCAACATTGCCTAATCGCCTACTCACCACGGCCCGTTCCACCCACGTACACATAATACACCTACACACACACATATACACATGAATTGTATTTACACATACACACACACATGAATTACAACATAATATGAAACAAAACACAATTTTGCGAATGTCATATCGAGCAGACGTGTTATACGCTATAACCCCGCTAACGCAAATTTAATAAAGTGCATTAATATTCCCACGAAAAGGTTCTACGGGTTTTTTTTTCAAAAAAAAGGTTCGAAGCTAGTGGTGAGTGTGCCCCCCAAAGTGTTTGCCCTTGGTGTACGACTGTTCATGGTCCTCCATCGCCTTACTGGACGGCACCTATAGAGAAACAAAAAAACAAAAAATTAAAAATTAATTCACATAAAAAATATACCTTTACAGTCCACAAATAAAAACCACAAACAAAGTTTAAGAATTAAAAAAATAAATAGTTCCATAGTGACCACATACTTAAATAAAAAGTGAAGAAGAGCGTACATACATACATTTATAAACTTTAACAGTTTATTCCGGGCGCGTCGCGTAATACTTATACACACTAAAAACAATAATAATTTCACATTAAACATCGGTACAAACTCGGGCGCGAAATAATTTAATGTAAAAACATAATTCACCCAACAAAAAACAACACTATAGAAGGAAGCACTTTATCGCAGTTAGGCTCAACGAGGGAAACACGCAACGAGGAGGAAGTAGCAGGATCAGGAGCTTGGGAACTATATCCTCAAATAATAACCCATAATTAAACCCATATACCCCCTACCGCCAAAGTGAGTTGTATCGAACCAGTAAATTGAGATTTTACATACATATATATAAAAAAAAAAAAACGATATTTACTGAAATTTTTCAAAACTATATATATATATACACATTTACATACATAAATATACATATCGGTAAAAATTTACGGTTCCAAAAAACGGTTGGAACAAAAAATAAAAAATCCGTATGTACATACATATATACGCACGAAAAAACCCTTAAATTTCTGCTTTAGCTTATTTTTCGTGTTTAGTAACACATACCAAATTCAAGTATCTACTTGCAATAAACGCCCAGCAATACCCCTTTTGCTTGTACTCATAGCAAGCAAAAGCAGGATTGCATACAAAATAAGCAGTAGAAATAAGACAGAACAATATCAACGAAACAAAAATTTTTGCGCGAAAAAGATTGACAAAACAAAGTAGAAAAGAAGTGGCAGTAAATACTGCATATTTATGTATGTAAACATATTATATTACAGCTTCTAAAACCCATAAATAGCAAATATCAAAAACACCTAAATATAATAGGTACCAAACAATAGCATATTTTATTTCTGTCCTCCCAGCATCTGTACCACGAAGTAATACACATACGTACATACGTGGAGGTAAACAATTATACAAACGCTTATTAGCCCCGAATCTGCATCGAATTGCACATAAAGAAGCATATGTACATACGGTCATTTGCAACTCATAGCCCATTAGAGACAAAGTTTATTACTCCCTAAGCTAACAAATTACTCGTACATAACTATATACAAACGGGCATACATCGTAACGAAAGCAACGAAATTGCAATCAGCGTTTATCGCTTCCTCCTATTTTAGTAAACAAAGTGACATACATACACACTACCTAGTATTAGCCGCCCTCGCTTAACATATGTTAATATATGGTAGCATTGCGTGCGAACATTAACAAACGCACATACATATATACTCACATACCTACTAACCCAGTAGTGCATATACCTTGTACGGCACACGTAAAGGAAAAATATTAATAAGCACGGTAAAATTAAAATAATCGAATTAACGATTTAAATTGCGATAATTTAAAGAAACCTTGTTTATTAGAAAAAAATATATATACACACCCAATCGGAAACAAATATAAAATTAATATAAAAAAAAGAATAATATAGAGAGAGTATTGCGGTACATTGTGTTAATGTAAATAAAAGCACGTCTAAATCCATTTGACGATACGGGAACTTGCTTATATTATTCGCGGTTAATTAAATACAGAGAAAAAATAAAATAAAATCTATATATTCTCGCATACTTAATGCCTTCTGATAAAACTCCAGCAAAGGAGCAATTAGCCAAACCCCCAATCACTTTAAAAGCACCAACAATGGTTGATGAGGATAAACCTCAAGGCACACCTGCAGAAGCTACCCGCTTGAAGCAGGGTGCAAAAGAGAGAAAAACAAAAGATTTCTCAGGCGCAAGATTCATTTCTGATAGTGACAGTTTGGTAAGATACTGCACTAAATTCTCCTCAGCCCCAATAGAAGACAATTCTGAATCGGTTCTGGAAATAAAAAACCACAACCTTGACAACTTCTGGGCGCGCCTTCAAGCGGCATATGACACAATTATAGAAACGGATGATTCCGATTTACCCGAGAATTTCAAAGCTTCGGCTGCCGCCACATACGAAAACTTGACCAATATGAAGAGACAAAAGCTATGATCTCCGATCAGCTTAAGTTATTAAACCCAGTTAGCGCACCTACTCCACCCCCGAGAGTAGAAGTAAGCCAAATTCAAGAGCAAAGCTCCGACATATATCTCAAAGTGCCAGCATGTGACACGGAAACCTTCCATGGGGGTTATGAACAATGGCCGTCCTTCCGGGACATGTTTACAGCCGTATACATAAATCACCTAAAATTGTCACAAGCACAAAAACTGTACCACCTCAGGTACAAGACTAAAGGTCAAGCCGGCAGTAGAGTGAAGCAATTCGCATTAAATGACGATAATTTCAATCTGGCTTGGGAAGCATTAAAAGAAAGATATGAAAACGAAAGAGTACTGGTTGATAAACAAGTAACGATTTTAATGAACTTGCCAAAAATTCAAAAAGAAACAAGTTATGGGAGCAATCGCTCTCATCCCGTAAAAAATGCCCGACGTGGCAACAAATGAAAGATTTTCTAACTACCCAGTATGAAATCGCAGAGAGGGTAGATACAAAAATTACAAAAGCCAAGAATACACAAAATGATCTACATAGAAGCTTCATGAAACCCCAAGCCAGCAATCACAATTCACATAATAGAAGCTTCAATACATCGCAAACATTTATGAACGAAAATAGACATACGTCATGCGAATTTTGTAAAGGAGGTCACCCATTAAGATCTTGCGAGAAGTTTAAAAAACTTACGACGACCGAAAGATATAATGTCGTCAGAAACAATAGGCTTTGCACAAATTGCTTCTCACACTCTCACACGCAAAAAGACTGTGAGAGTACCACGACTTGAACTGTGTGGCGCGCTTCTACTCGCAAAATTAGCCTCAACTGTGCAAACGCATTTAAACATGACCAGTCAAAAATTATATCTATGGTCAGACTCAGAGATCGTCTTAGCTTGGTTAGAAAAACCACCCCTCTCATGGAAAACATATGTTTCCAACCGCATAGCCCAAATACTTGATTTAGTTGAGCCGGCAACTTGGCGACATCTATCCAGTGCTGATAACCCCGCCGATCTTGGCACAAGAGGTTGCAAACCCTTGCACCTCGCCACCACCTCACTCTGGTGGAACGGCCCCAACTGGCTAAAAGAATCACAACAATTCTGGCCACAATCCCCCATACGCAACATAATTGCCCCAGAAAGTCGAAAAGTCGAAACCTCTCACACAATACTGGATGACAATGACATACTAGAACGATTTTCCTCGTTCCCCCGTGCCCTAAAGGTAGTCGCCTATATGTTCAAATTTGTAGAGCGCCTCAAAAATGAGGTTAAGAAAACACCGAATTCCCCAGATAACATGTTAACGCATCAATACCTACAAAAAGCAAAGGTTTCCCTTGTTGCATACACTCAAACGCGCTATTTCAGCCGCGAAATATTACTGCTAAGAGAATCAAAACTAATTGATAAAAAGAGTCAACTCTTAGTACTCAATCCATTTTTAGACACGAAAGGTCTGCATCGTGCTAATGGACGGCTAGCGAACTCCAGCCTCACATATAACGAACGCCACCCCATAATAATACCAGAGAAATCCTCATTTGCAACACCATACCTCAGATTTCTCCACTTATTAATGCTACATGCCGAACATCGCCTCATGCAACAAATGGTCCGACAAGAATATTATATTCCACGACTAAAGCCACAGATCAAAAAATGCATATTTATGTGTAAAGTCTGCACTATACATAAGCAGAAGATGCGCACGCAGATCATGGCAGCTCTTCCACCTGAACGCTGCACTTTCGCTCTGCCCTTCACTACCACTGGTGTTGACTTTGCTGGGCCTTTCCAGATAAAGGCTTCCATATTAAGGACTTCAACCTTTACGAAGGGTTATGTGGCTGTCTTTGTATGCTTTACGACAAAGGCAGTACACCTCGAGCTATGTTCTGATCTGACCACTGCGGCTTTTCTCGCGGCATTTGCTCGCTTCGTCTGACGGCGAGGATTTCCATCCAAAATAATGAGCGACAATGGAAAAACCTTTGTCGGAGCCAAAAGAGCCACTGAAAAACAGTTTGTAAAATTTATAGAGGAAGTCTCGCCAGAAATCGTTCAAAAATACGCACCCCAAGGCATTGATTGGCAATTTATCCCACCAAGTGCTCCACATATGGGGGGTCTATGGGAATCCGCTGTAAAAAGCTTCAAAACACATTTTAAAAAGTCGCTGGCGCACACAAATTTAACTTCGAAGAATTTACTACATTATTAACCCGAACAGAAGCCGTTCCTAACTCACGGCCCCTCTCTGCGCTCTCGCAAGATCCCTCCGATTTCACTGCCCTCACCCCTGGGCATTTTCTTAGAGGTGCTCCACTTCTGGCAATACCCGAACCAGACGAACAATCCTTATCTCTACTGAATCGATGGGAACGAATGAAAATTCTCCATCATGAATTCAGTCGTAGATGGAAGGAAGATTATTTAAAAGACCTCCATAAAAGATATAGATGGAAGAATACTCAAGAGGAGCCTAAAATCGGAGAATGTGTTCTCATCCACGATGAGTGTCTTCCACCCACCGAGTGGCGCCTCGCAAGAATCGAAAAATTACATCGTGGCTCCGATGGTCACATACGAGTCGTAGATTTGCGCACACAAAACGGTATACTAACTCGACCGCTCGTAAAACTTTGCCTTCTACCGACCGAAGACGCTAATAATCAATGAAAAACAATCGTAATTCCGTCATGCTCAAAACCGTAAATGAAACTAAAACCACGCAACTCAATAAACGTAACAAAAACCGAGAATATCAAAAGTGCCTAAATCCGTACCCTCAAACCCACACCAAGTGGCTTACGCCTAGCAATCATGTTCATAACTGCTTGCATCTATACTATACTAAAGTCCGTTCTCC